TTGTTCCTATGGGGAAAAGGTTCGATTTTCCCCTTCACTTATAGCTGGGAATATTAGACTTATTGAACTTAACACTGATCCTAACACCATAGTTTAAATATTTGTAACCATCTTGTTCTAATATATTATATAAAATCCAGGCCCAAGTTTATATAGTATCTCTACTTGCAAAATGTGAAGACAAAGAGGCAGCACTGATTTTCAGGGTGAGTAGGTTGCAAATAGGTGATGAAAAAAGACAGGACAGGAAGCAAGAGTTATACAAATCATTGTTCGCTGACCTGAGAAATCCAGAAGAACAGATTTGAACTTCAAAATGCTCAGATATATCCTTGTTGTCTGATGAATTTGGAGATTTGAACAAGTAGTGTTCAACTTAAAACCGATCATTTAAAATTATGACAGATTTCCCAAAGGGTATTTATGACCCAGTTTTTAAGTTCCCATGACTGCCCCCTTGAACTCATATGACTGCATTTTGGCACTTGGCAACTGGCTCACATTTACCACCATTTACAATATGACTATCTCCAGAAGATAGAAATAAAATAATCTTGATAGGTTAGAGAAAGGGGCTGAAAATAATGGAATGCAACCTAGGTTTAAAAATGCAACCTACCAAGGTTTAAAAATAAATTTTACTGTGAGACAGGAGTCCCCAACCCCCAGATTGTGACTCACTTTGGGGCTTTGAGCCGATTGGAATCAGGCTGCAGAAGTGGAGGAATACGTAAATGCATGCATGCATCCCCTCTTGTGCAAGCAGTGGGCAAGTGCACACTCCATTTGAACAAGTGGCAGGTACTCGTGGCCGCCACGAGTAGCATTCCAGAAAACCTCCACTCCAACTAATAACTCCAAGACAGACATCCTCTTCAAAATTCTTTTTATTAAACTGGCACATCTGGGAAATCCCAAATCTGAAAGTTTCGGGTTTCCTTGTAATAAGTAAAAACTACAAATCAACCCCCTTCACCCCCCCATAACATCACATGCCCCAATCACCATCCATCCCAGCTTGAGACGTCCTCTCAACCAGGTGCAGAAATAACATGACCTTGACTTAGAAGAAGAATGCTATTATGTCTAACCACATACACTCCAAGAAATTCCCCCCTCCCATTTTCCCAGGCTCAAGAATGTAGCAGTGTGGAAGCATCTGATGCTAATATGGCTTCCAAAGCTGACAGCAGCAGGCACACATCCGCTTGCCCGCTGCTTGCAGAAAACCATCCCCTCTCCCCCCGCCAGTCCACAAAGGCAAAAAGGTTGAGGAACTTTGCTGTAGAACATCAAATACACAGTTATAAGAAATGATTTGTAAATGGTACTTGAAAAATCAATCTTAAAATAATAGTTAATTACAAACTGCATTATGAATCAGGGGCATTTGACTGAAAAAAAGGGAATTACAGATTCCAAGGCAAAGAAAATTATGCACTCATCAGATTCCAATTTGAAATTTGTGTCCACTTCTGCAAACCAACAATTTAAAGAAAGTTCATATAAACTGGAACTGGTTGACAGGATGGCTAGAATGACAGGAATCTGAAAAATAAGTTCTGTGCAGAGAAGCTGAAGGACTGAACATGTTTAGTCTTCTGTAGCATAGATTAATGAACAGAATTCATTAAAATATCTGAAAGGACATTATAGAAAAAAAGGTAAAACATGTTTTGTACTTTACAAAATGCAAAATACAGAATAAGATATTCATTTTAACAGATTCTAATGGAACATTAAAATATTATTTTGGATGATATCTGAACCATTGTTAATATGAATGTGCAAAAAGAACACAGTTTAAAGATAAATATGTTGAAAAATATACTGAAAACTTGGGATGTATCAGGAAAGATGTTTATACTTGAAGTATAGCCAAACAGATTATTTTATTTTCTTGGAAAGAAAATCCTTATTTACAATCCTAGACTGAAGATTTGCAGTTGCTTTCAGCTTTGAATTGGCTCTCTGTCAACAAACTTTTATATGGACAAGATTTAAGTCATTGTTTAAAAGCAAGATCACCACTTGTCAACCCTTCAAATTAGGCCAGTCAGGAAACAGACCGTGTAAGGACTACAGTAATGACTATTACTATGGATATAATAATAGAATCTTGAAGCCTGTCAGGGCTTCTATCTGATTTCTTATACCAAACAGAATCAAGGGAGGGGGAGAATAGGTTGTATCTGTTTCTTATTATCCTTCTTTTCCCAGAACTGAGTGGTGATTTACTCTACCTCAGCAGTTTATCTAACAATTCTTGAATACTTTTATGAAGGCTATCACAACATTCCCTACACCGATATGTATAATATGTATACAAATAGTCCTCGACTTACAACAGTTCATTTAGCGACTACTTGAAATTACAATGGTACCAAAAAAAGTGACTTACTCATATTTTTCGGAGCATAAGATGCTCCAAAGTATAAGACACACCAAGCTTTTGGAGAGGAAAACAAGAAAATAAAAAATCTGCCTCTGCATACCAGCAATTTGCCTCCTTGCAGCAAACAGCCTGTTTCAGCTTCAGCACAGCCTGGCAAGCAGCTGATTGTCAGTGGATCGGCCTGCCAACAGTCAGCTGTTTCAGGCTGCAGGAATTGCCATCCCTTATTGCCACCTCCATGCCCCCAATTTTTGGCCTCCGCATCCCATTTTCAGTCTCCAAACGCCCCATTTTTGGCCTCTGCGCAGCTCATTTTTGCCCTGTTCTGGGCAAAACCTCCCTTTTACTAAACTTCCCTTTTATTAAAACTGAAGAATTTTAAAATACTTCTTTATTTAACTTTGCAAACTTTCCCCCAAGTCCACACTTTGAAAACCAAATTACTATTTGATTAAATAGTACTGTCTATACAAAAATCTATCTGGACCCATGGGTATATATTTGATGTATTTTCAAAAAAATGAATTAATTTTAAATTTAATACTTATTAAGGTACAAGACCAACCACATGGCACACCATGCCATAGATCAAAAACATTATGGAAGCTTAGAATGCAGCTTCTGAGATCTTCAACTGGACATCACACTCCACCCAGATGCTATCACATGAGGACAAATTATGCACTGTAAAGATCGCTTGGAAGTGGAAGATACTTCCAATGTAATCTACCGAATGACCTGCATGGATTGCCCCTGTGACTATGTAGGACAGGCTGGGAGAAAGCTAACCACCAGATTGCAAGAACACAAGTGAACAGTCAGATGAGGAGACCCGAACTCATTCTCACACTGCAATGAACAAGTACACACATTCAATTTTGCAGTGACTAAAACTGTTGGACGAGCAGGCACAAAACAGCCAGGGAAGTGATTGAAGCCTGGGAAACAGGCTCCTCGTCAATCTACAGGAGAGCTGAGTTACCACCAGCCTATCAATTACTTGGAAGGCAAGGGCTGGGCAACACAAGCAAATGACAGCTGACAACTTAAAAGAAAGCCAACGACACAACCCAATCAACATACATCTAAAGAGCCACATACAAAGGTACTATAAATACCATACAAAGCACACACTCTTAATATGCACAAGTCTGAAAAATTGGAAGATAAAACCCTCTGGTCCTGGTTACCGACCCATATTGGATGCTGCAACATTATCCTGAGACATGTATATTTACCTTCATCCCTGAATACTTATTAAATGTGATTTCCAAGCTTAAGAATTTATCCAGAAAAATGGAAATGTTAAATTGAAATGTTTTCCCAGAAAAAGTGATTACACAAATAACTATGCCAATTTGCAATTCAGGGAAGGTTCCAATTATTTTAGATAGCTACAAGAGTTAATCAAATACTTACAATCAGTGCAAATTAAATCAGCAAGATTTGTGTCAAATATAGAAGTGACCCAATCTTACTGAAATTAAATTTTGAAACAAAACCAAACCCACAGCTATACTTGGAAACAGCATGCCTAGAACTTGAAGCTAAGAAAAAAAACATGCCAACTTATAAATTTCTCCAAGGGAAGGTTTATAATGGAAATGGCAACAGACTCTTAACTACAGTGGTGCCTTTTTATGCCAACATATAAATAATTTTAGCTTTTATAGTCACATCATAAATTAGATTTAGTGCAAGTAGAAACAGTAGAGTGCTGATTCAGTAAATAGAAAGACCAGGAGCACATGTTTGCATTTTTAAAAGACAGGCACTGACTTGATAGTGAGTCTGAAATGAAGTCTGTAAACAGGTTTGAGTTCTTTTTTTAAAATACTTTACTATAGACAAGCCATGAGTTTTTTAAGCTTATAAAAATAAGCATCTTTTACAAGTTATAGTGTCTGTTTCAAATATTCTAAGAATCATTTCTAGGTTAGTAAAAATGACTCCGTTCAACCCATAGTTTCTCCATTGTGGGGAAAAATACACACAAACAATTATTCAATGTTTTTCAACCATAGCAATCTTGTATGGACTTCATGGCTGGCTGGGGGAATTCTGGAACTGAGGTCCACACAACTTAAAAGTTACCAAGGTTGTGAAACACTGCTTCAATCAAAAGGAATTAAGTATAGTTTGTGGATAAGGTGCTTTAAAAAAAATGAAACAAAAGCCCTGATGACTTTTCTTAAACCGTTCTTAAACGGTTTTCTTAAACCGTTTCTCTCTCTGTCATAACTTTGAGTGGTTGCTAAGTAACCAATTGTAAATTGAGGATTTCTGGCCCATAGGTAAAGTATAATAGTAAAACAATAACATATAAAAAATACATGTTAAAAAAATCAGAAGTAGGGTTCTTAAAAATGTATTCATTCAGCGCCATCACAACTTTTGAAAGCTGAACAAATGGTTGTAACCCAAAGACTAACTTGTGAATTCATACGAATTTGTAGGTGGACTTGAAAAAAATGTTTTAAGATTGGAAAGATTTTTTTTTTCATATTTGGCAAGCTATATGCCTCTTCACAAAGAACATGTTTGGCCAAACTAGTATTCAAATAGCCAAAAGGAAGCAAGTGAGAAAAAAATGAGAAAGACTTACCACCAGAAACAGGGGCATCCATAAAAACAGCTCCCATTTTTTCAGTTTCTTTAGCTAGTTCTTTTGAAACTTCAGGGTCAATTGTACTGGAATCTATTAATAAAGAACCTTTCTTCACTTTCCTGAAGCAAATGAAGACAAAAAAACAAAACCCAGAGGTATACTCACAAAGTAGGTAATTACCTCTTTGATATTGCTACAATTTGCTCATAAAATTTAACTCCAGAAGAAGTCACAATATTCATGCCAACTTGTAAAACTTTTTCATGATACTTTTTGATACTGATTTCATACATTCACAATAAATTATCTACACCTTGCCAAAACATATACTTAAGTTATTTTTACAATTATTGACAATTTTTTCTTTGAGTAAAGGCTCTATTACCAGGAATGAAAATGCTGCACAGCTTTGTAGAATTTTTATTTATTTATTAAATTTATATGTCACCCGTCTTTCCAGTGAGAGATTCTGGGTAGCCATTTTCAGCCAGTTTTTTCTCTCAGCTCAAATTTTCTCACAAAACTGTTATAGTGCAGATACACGTAAGTCCTCAAATTGTGGCAATTCAGCCCAAAATTTCTGTTGCTAAGTGAGAGAGTTTTACAACTTTTCTTGCCACAGTTGTTACTGCAGTGGTTAAATTAGTTACATGGTTGTTAAGTGAATCTGGTTTCCTTATTTACTTTGCTTATCAGGTTTCAAAAGGTGATTACATGACCATGACACTGCAACCATGAATCAGTTGCCAAGCATCTAAATTTTGATCACATGACCAGGGGAATGCTGCAATAGTTATTAAGTGTTAATAGTTATCACTAAATAAATGGTTGTAAGTTGAGGGCTACTTGTAAAATTAAGCATGACCTCTATATATGAACTCTCAGAAAAAGTAGGATATAAATGTAACACAAAACAATATAACACATCTAGATAATGTTAACTCCAATCCCCAAGAATCCTAACCAGCATAGTCATTAATAAGGTATGCTGGGACTCGTAAGACATCAAGTTGCTCCAGAAAACTGTAACAATAATTAACTATGTACAATGAAACATGCACACTTCTCCATGATGATAGCTGGAAACAAATACAACATATTTGAGAAATTACTGAACTGCTACAGGATTTAATAACATTCAATAAAAATACAAGCAGAATATTAATATAAAGAAAAAAGGGGAATCTTACTTGAGAATTCCATTGGTACCTATGTAAACCTCTATTGCATTAGGATTAGATGGAAGCATTGTAATAATCCTATCTGCTTTATCTGCTACATCTGCTGGAGAATCAGCCACCTTTAAAAAAAACAAAAAGGAAAGAATGCTTTTGAAGAAAGATTTGAAAAGAAAAACTAGCGATTCGGAACAAAGAAGTGTGAAAAGGGAAAAAAGAAACCTAAAATACAGTTGGATAGTTACACTTAAGTTTCACACAGGTTAAATGGCAACACTGACATAGATTGAGTTTCAGATGAAAAGCTTTCAAAAAGAAGAAAAATGATCTGAAAACGTATTTTAAAAAAGAGATGTACTCAAAATACGTTTTAGAACTACTAGTTCAGAAATAATTTGTCATCAAGATTATGATGCTTAATTCTTAATTATAAACTAATTGGACCCCTTCCAGTCAGGTATCGGGTCTGATTATGGGACAAAACAACACCTATTAATGATCTCTGGCGTAGGATGGGATAATGCATCCATCCTTGCTATCCTTGATCTCTCAGCTTTCAATACCATTATACCCTTATTGGTATCCTTATTGGGTTGACCATGGTATCCTTATTGGGTTGAGTTCAAAATTTGGGGCTGAGTGATGCAGTTTTGTACTGGTTACTACTGGTTTTGTAGAAGTAAGAGATCCAGTCAATGGCTACTCCTTTGTGGGGTGCTACAGGGCTCTGTACTCTCTCCACTCATTTTCAGCATCTACATGAAGCTGGATGAGATCATCCAATACAATGGGATGAAGTATCATGAATATGCTGATGATATCAACTTTGTATCTCCATGGTGGCCCAAGTTTAGTTTACTTTATTGTCATTGCACCTCGTACAACGAAAGCAAACACCATCTTCAATGCACATCATGACCATGAAAATCAACACAAACATCCTTCACACTCCACATTGAATTGAAAACCCTGATACTGCACCAACACTGCACTATACAGTAGAATTCAAAAGCTACTGTCCTGGGATAGAAGCTATTTTTTAGCTATTTGTCCTGGTTTTTATTATTTTGTACCATCTGCCAGATGGTAATCGTTCAAAAAAAGGGTTCCCAGGATGAGATGGATCTTTGAGAATGTTTTGAACTTTCTTAAGGCAGCGGGAGCTATAAAACTATAAAGCTCTTGCAAAGAGGGGAGAGGGCAACCAATGATCTTCTGGGCAATGACATTAACCCTCTGGAGTGCTTTCCTATCTGCCACTGTGCAATTGGCAAACCATACAGAGGTGCAGTAAGTTAAAATATTCTCTATGGTGCAGTGGTAGAAGGTCACCAGCAGTTTTTCATTCAGTTGTTGTTTTCTGAGAAGTCTCAGGTAGTATAATCTCTGCTGGGCCCTTTTGACCAGGGCTGCAATGTGAGCACCCCAGGTCAGGTCCTCTTTTAGGGTAACACCCAGAAACTTAAAACTGGCCACCTGCTCCACTCGGTCTCCATTGATAAGCAAGGGCTGGATGTCTGATCTGTTCCTTCTATAATCCACTATAAGCTCCTTGGTCTTATTGGTGTTGAGGACCAAGTTATTGTCTCCACACCACGAAAGTAAACGGTCCACCTCATCTCAGTAGGCAGACTCATCCCCCCCGGAGATGAGTCCCACCACTGTTGTATCATCTGCAAATTTAATATATAAACCAAATATTGGTGTCACTGCACTGTCATGGTGCCTGGAGACTGTGGGGCCTTGAACAGGGACAAAATAAGTCTGGTACTCTGGAACTCTGGTAAGACAGTAGCTATATGAGTCACAGGATCTGAGAGTTCAACATCTTTTACTCTTGAATAGGGTTGCATTGTCCCAGACAGGCCCAGTCTTCAACTTGGGAGTTCTCCTAGACTCACAATGAAGAACAGGTAGCTGTCATGGCTAGAAGAGCCTTTGTACAACTTTGTGTTGCACCCTGTCCTGCATCATGAGACCCTGCGCCAGTGGTGGGATTCAAAATTTTTTACTATTGATTCTGTGGGCGTGGCTTGGTAGGTGTGGCATGACTTGGTGGGCATGGCTTGGTGGCGTATCCAGGGGAAGGATACTGCAAAATCTCCATTCTCTCCCCATCCCACTAACCTGCTTTCCAGCTCCGTTCTCCTGCGCAGGGCAACAAAAGAAGACCCAATCAATCAGCTGGGACTCAGGAGGCAGAGAATAGATGGGGGTGGGGCCTGTCAGAGGTGGTATTCTGAATTACTCAAAATTTCTACTACTGGTTCTCTGAACTACTCAAAATTTCTGCTACCAGTTCTCCTGAACTGGTTAGAACCTGCTGGACACCACCTCTGCCCTGCGCTCAGTTACTCATGCCCTGGTCATCTTGCATTTGGACTACTGTAATATGCTCTATATAAGGATCCCCTTGAAGAGTATTCAGAAGTTGCAATTCACATAGATGCAGTTATGCAGATAGTTCTAGGGGCCCCTAAGGTGATCCAGGTAACACTACTATTGCACAAGCTGCACTGGTTGCTAGTTCGCTTGTAGGTACAATTCAATGTTGGTTATTATCTCTTAGGCCCTTTATGGATCCAAGCTACCTCAGGAACCATTTCACCCCAAACAGAGATTGGTCCATCCCACTTGCTTCAGCAAAAGGGGAATACTATAGACCCTGTCAGCTAAGGACATTTATTTGGTGGGTCTTTTCTGCCATGGCTCCTACCCTTTAGAACAGGGGTCCCCAACCACCGGTCCGCGGAACAAGTCCTACCGGGCCGCTGGTTTGCTGGGTGCCGCCATCTTTTTTTGATGAAAAAGTGCTTCCGGTGAGCTTTTCCGGGTAGAAAGCTCACCGGAAGCACTTTTTCATCAAAAAAAGATGGCGGCGCCCAGCTAATGCCGGTACCGGGCCGCGCCATAAAAAAGGTTGGGGATACCGGGCCGCGGCATAAGAAAGGTTGGGGATCACTGCTTTAGAACATCATGCCCCTCTAGTTGAGATCTGCCTCCACCCTCCTGGCCTTCTGAAAGAGTCTGAACACATGGCTCTGCCTATTGGCTTAAGGCTAGGGATGTCCTACTAAACCTTAACCATTGTTAGTAGACAAGAAGAGCTCACTTCCACCCTGTTTATACATTTGTTTCTATTTTACCCAAAGTTTTATTAACTTGCAGTGTTCAATGTTTTAATCTTTTATGTTGCTATTTTTATGATACTGTAAGCTGCCCAGATTTGGTCATCTGTGAGATGGGTGGCATAAATAATAATAAATAATACTCTGATATAGGCCCATGCAAAGGTCTGTTTCAAGGAACTTGTAATATGATTTTTATCAAGCTAGGTTTGTGTTGAGTTTTCTTATAGCATTCAAAGCAAGACATAAAGTTATATACTATCTGCAAATAAAGATAAGAATGAGTAGAACTGGCACAGAATTGTAGAATTTTCATTGTTACACCTATTAATCTATGACCATTTAAAGATGATTCAAAGTGATGGTGGCCTTGGAAAAAGTGACTTATGAACCATCCTCAACTGTCATACCATCCCACTCTAGCGAAATGATCGCAATGTGCACACCTGGTACCAGTTCACATTTACAATGGTAGAACATCTTGTGGTCACATAACAAAATCAATGGGGCAGTGTGATTCACTTAACCACCAGATGGCTCACTAAACCAGTTATTTGCTTAACAACATGGTAAAATGGTCATAAAACTGGATCATGTCACAACTTACTTAATGACTATTATCACTTAGTGACCAAAACTCTGGTGTCAATTGTGGTAGTAAAGGACTACCTATATCACATCATACTTTACATCAGGGGTCCCTAAACTTGGCAACTTTAAGACTGGTGTCAATTGTGGTAGTTAAGTAAAGGACTACCTATATCATCACATCAGGGGTCCCCAACTTGGCAACTTTAAGACTTGTGGACTTCAACTCCCAGAATTCTCCAGCCACATTGTGTTTTTATAGATAGCCATTTATAGTTTTTAACTCCATATTTTCATCCTCGTACATATTCAAAACAATTTCAAATAAGGCTCAGTATACATCATGTAGATTAAAAATCTGTAAATTTATCAGCTTAAATTTACATGGTGAATATCTGGCTTCCAAATTATTTTGAAATGTGAAGCTAATAGAAACTACCGTGTTTCTCACAAAATAAGGCTGGGCCTTTTTTTTTTTGACCCCCCCCCCCCCCAAATGGCTAGGCCGTCTTTTCGGGGGTGACTTAATTTCTCTCCCTTGCATCCTCGGACGGGCGGGCGGCGACGGCTTCGTATCGGGAGACCTTCCGCCACCGTTGCTTTCCCTTCTGCCCGTGCTGCACGGCATTTGGCGCAGCCACGTGGGGCCGGCCAGGGCTCCTCCCTGCAACCGGAGGCCAGCGGAGACACTCAGCTTCAGGCACTCCTGTCACTGCCTTCCCGGGCATCGTTCAAAGGCAAAGCCCATTCTTTTAAAAACGACGTCCTACTACGACAAAGCCTCCCCTGCCCAACCCCACGTGGGGAGGCGAATCTCCCGGGGCCACAGCGCAGGAGCGGCCCACCCCAGGAGAAGCACCCAGCCGCCATCACTGCCTGGGTCTGGGCAGAGCGCGAAGAGCTTCGCCTGGGGTGCCCAGCTCAGCTGACAGGCGGGCCCTCGTGCCCGGCGGCGGACCTCTCACCAAGGCAGCGAGCGCCTCCCTGCGGGCCCTCCGTTCATCCCGCCAGGGCCACGCTGGAGCCAGGTGGGCTGGGCAGAGCCAGGAAAGCGAGCTGCGGGTGTGCGCCCGCCTGCCAAGCAAAAGAGCCGGGCCGATCCGAGCGGAAGAGGCCGCCCAAGACAATGATAGTGCGCACCCATCCATGGATATGGAGGCGAGGCAACGGCCCGCGCTGCGTCTTCCTCTGAGCTGAGCCCCGCCAAGTGAGCACCTCTGCCTGATGCCCGTGCCACTGCAGCGTTTGGAGCTGCCAGTGCGTTTGGAGATGCGTGGGGATGGGGACGGGCTGGGTGAGGGGTGAAAAGGACCGGGCGGCTTCGGGCTCTCTCTGCTGGACCCGCTGGCCAGGAAAGCAGCGCTGCCGTCACCTCGCCTCCCTGTCCGTGAACGGGTGGGCGCTATCACTACCTCGGGCAGCGTCTCCCTTCGGGTTCGGGCTGGAGGGACTTGGGAAGCCAAGCTCGGGTCGGCCCAGCTCTTTCACTTGGCAGGCAGGTGCGCACCTGCAGCTTGCTTTCCCGGCTCTGCCCAGCTCGCCCAGCCCTGGCGGGATGAACAGAGGGCCTGGCAGGGAAGTGCTCGCTGCCTTGGTGAGAGCTCAAATTGTCTATAGCAAAGGCACAAAATCAGGCTCACCAAGGCACCCAAAAGTTTTCTGTTAGTGTTTCATTCCCCTTTGGTTAACATGCTGTTTAAAAAATTGGAGAAAAGAATAATTGGATTTTTGTGGCCTCTTTCCATCATATCAATGACGTTTCTTATATTTGGTGTCCTAAATAAAGGGTGATTTTAAAAAACAGTAATGCTGATGATGATAAGGGAATTAAGAAATTTCACAATCACATTTCTTGTAAATTTCACAGTCACTTTTAAAAATTAAAATAGCAATGAAATGTTATTATACCTGGGTACCCAGCTCTTGGAATTCCTTACATGCTTCTGGAAATACATCACATGCGATAATGGGATAACCATGTTTCACAAGGTTTTTTGCCATTGGATTTCCCATATTTCCCAAACCAATAAATCCAACTGGAGTTTTGGAAGCCATTGCCCTAGAAGACACTAATTGAAATGCAAACATTTCAGTTAAAAGTTTTCTAATCTTACATCAACTGCAATACACACTTTTCTTTTCTGCTAGTTGCATGTCTTAAGTTATACTAACAGCAGCTTATATTTCAAGAAAGATAAGAAAATTGGCAACAGCAGAAACATTCACTGTTCATTTTATTAAGTAATAGATAGTAAAAATGATCAACACTGAATTCATCAATATTGAATTTCAGTGTGCTGCTCAAATAAGTGTTTGGTATCTGTAATCCCTCTACAGCAGAGTCCCAAATCAAAAATAGTACAACTACGCAATAATTTAAGGCTCTGTTAAAAATGCTTCAGATAATCAAGGGGAACCAATCTAACATATATCTCCATGTTTTAAAGCAGCTGTGTATTTTCCTAGTATTGAGAACTCCAAAGCACCAGTTTTAATTGAATCCAAAGCATTTCATAGCTATAATAGATTATGCAAAGGAGCTGACACAAAGAAGATATAAATTTGAATGGGATACCACAATAAAATTGTATGAAAATTTACCCTATTTTGTGCTTGAAATAATTAGGGCAAAATAAACTTTTACATACTTTGGTCTTTGCTTTTTTATAAATTATCAAAAACTGCACTACCAAAAATCACCATTCTTCCACTGCAACTTACAAAGCCACAAAAATCAATTGGTGAAAATCCTAAGGTGTTTTTGAGGTGCCTTACCTTTATGAATTCAAAATCAGCTTATCATCTGAATAGTTTTTTAAAATAAAAATAATCACAAAAGGGATGACTTGTTTAAGCTATTGCTTCTTCATTTTAATGGAAAGCCAGTTTGATCTTGTGGTTAAGACCAGGCTGGAAACTGAGAGATCATGAGTTCAAGTCAAAGCTTAGCCATGAAAGTCAGTTGGGTGATGTTACACCAGTCAGTTTCTGTCAGCCCAAGTCACCTTACAGAGTTGTTGTTGTGGGGAAAATAGGAGGAAGGAGTGTTATATGTTAGCCATCTTTCTTGAATTGTTTATAAATATACAGATGGGATATAAATAAATACATTAAATAAATAAAAGTATAATTTAGGAGTCTAAAGAGACCATGTCTATTTTAGTTTCACAAAATTTCAGATTTACCCTTTTATCCATTGTTTTTGCTTACAAAGCAAGCAGCATATATTCAAAGAAAATTTAGAAAATCAACTGTCCTAAAAAGGAAATTTAATAAAGATTCAGATTCCTTCTTTTCCTGTCTACAGATTCAGCCAGCTGCCAACAGCTGCAATCAAAGTAACAGCTGTCTACCAGAAATTGGGATGACTGCAAACTCTTATCACATGGCAAATTTCCTGGATCTAAAGATGATTTTTAGGGAACATAATGGAAAACCTTCACCATAGTGTGACTTGGTCAGTTTGTCCCTGGTCTGATAATTATCCTGTGATATTTACCTGATTATTTAAGCAGATGTTCATTAGAACAGGCACTTGGATGTGAACAAAAGAAGAAACTTAACATAATCCCATCTATACTTTGTGGGAGTTGTATACATATATGTTTTAAAGTTAATCATAAGCTATCATGCCAGGTGCAAGAAATGGCTGGCCTATGAGTTGAGAGAAGCACATAACATTTTGGAATCTAACTTGTAGCTTCTTTGGGGGAAGAAAAGACTTAAAGGGGGGAAAAGTGTTCATTGTCACATGCCCTGCCTCAACAATCAACTATTATTTAGTTTAGCAATGAAACACAGGAAAGGAATATAAAGTAGTATGCAAAAGATTAAAGATATGAGCTACCGTAGTAAAAAATATTGCATTATGCATTTTTGCTCCTTTAATAATCATTCATTTCTTGTATCAGTCCACTTTTGCCCCTCTTAAAATTTCTCTATCTAGTCTTTCTTTCACTTTTAATAAATATTCTATAAGATAAACATATATTCATATAGTTGCTCTAGTATTTTTACCATAAATGAACTTGTGGACCAAGCACTAAAGGTAGCCCATGACTCTTGAGCACAATTGGGACCAGAATTTTGATTGCTAAGCAATATAGTTGTTCATTGTATCACCTCCAATTTTATGACCTCATTTGCCATGGTTGTTAATGCAATAAATATTGGCAATTATATGAATGTGTATTTATTACGATAGCATCCCAGAAAATCACTGCAGTTGCTAAATAAATCATGCAATCATTAAGCAAATCCAACTTCTTTTGCTGATTTTGCTTATTTTGGGTGATTTTGGAAGCCAGATGGAAAAGTCGCAAATGGTGATCATATGACCCCAGGACACTATAACTGTCCATAAAAACCTTGACTAGTTGTTGAATGCCCACATTTTGATCGTGTGACCATAGGATTCTGAAATGGTTATTAAATGCGAAGACTGGTTACAAATCATTTTTTTCAGTGCTGCTGTCATTTCAAATAGTTGCTATATCAACAGGTCAAGGGCTACCTATATAGATCTGATATACAAGATCATACTACTTTCATCCTTACTATGTCTCACGCTCAATCTATTTATTTCTCTTTCTTTTATTCATTCATGCTATATAAAATGATTGAAAAAGTAATTTGCACCAGTCCTCACTTATGGCTCCTGCAGCACTCCCATGGTCATATGATTGTGATTCAAACGCTTGGCAACCAATAAGTATTTATTACAGTTTTAGCATCTCAGGGTCATGTGATTGCCATTTGTGATCTTCCCAGCCAGCATTCAACAATCAAAGCCAATGGTGGAAGCCAGGTTCTCTTAGTGACCACTTAATTCACTTCATAATCATAGCAAAAAAGGTAGGGGTGTGATTCACTTAACAGCCACTCTACTTACAGATGGAAATTCTCATCGTAAGTCAAGAACTAGCTGTAAAAAAAGATCCATCGTAATACGGTATATGAAAAAAGAGTTAACTTGGTCCTGTTGTGCAATAACAATATGCTTTTTTATATGGATACCAGAGAGGTCAGACAGTTTTCACTGCTATTTTTTTCTGGCAAACATAAGAAATATTTTTAAAAGATGAATAATACTAGGAACCAGAATCAATAAAGTTTACTGAAAAGATATTTACTGTGCTATTCATGCTCAGCAGCTAAGCTAAATAAAAATACTTAGACATGGCAGGGACAGAACATTTAGGAAATATTCTTCAACAAATTGGTTGCATCTGATGTTTTTATAGAAACTATGATTTTAAGCTTTTTGTCAACATAGATATATCTGCTTTCCACATAGGATTGTTAATGCCATAAGTAATGCAAATAAAAAAGTTTCATCATGATAAATTAGGCCACTGAAATGAAAAATTCTTTATGTAAACCCAGATTTCTTTGAGGATAAAAGATTTCTTGTTCAGTTATGACATTAAAATAAATACTATGAGTGAAGCCATGCTCAGAAGTACCACCCTGTTCATTTGCTACTTCTAAGTTTGGTATCTAAGATACTATTTTTAATGGGTTCAAATGGTAGATCTAAGAGAGATAGGGAGAATAAAGAAATAGATACTTTAAGTCTGCAGTCAGGTCCCAATCCAGAAATGTATATACAGTATGAATAAAAATCAGTCTGCATGAGTGGGTACACCTGTACTAATTTACCCAGCAGATGGTTTGAGTTATTAAACAGCAGCTGTACTGTGCAACATCTCAAATTATGTGTGCAGTTTCCAGGGTTTGGGTTTCTATAACAGAAATACACATGCAATAACTTTCTCAGTAAAAAGAAAAAAATTGCAGCAACAGATTGAAAAGATGAACCATATGAATTGTTTTTTATCAAAAGGAAAAAAAATCTTAGTATAACAAAAATTAAATATGCTTAACGACAATTATGTATTGGCTTATATTAATGTTAAGGAAATAACATATTAATTATAGATGCTCAGAGTCACTTAGATAGATGAGTGACATATACATTTATTAACCAGAATATTTAATATTCTATATTAAAAACTAGAAAGTGTGACACTGTAAATTCAATTTTCTGTCTTAGCCCAACTCATCTCACAGGATTATTGTGGGGAAAATATCAGAGGTTGGATATGTTTGCCACCTTGGGTCATTTGTGAAATAATAAAGATAGAATATAAATAAATAAGAATAATTGAATAATTTTCAAATAAGAAAATTGTTTAATTTATTGCTATATATGGAAATAATATATTATGGCATTAGTTTTTATTAACCCTCAAAACTGATGATTACAGCATTATTAACAATAGAAAAAAAAGTAACAAAGTACCTAGCAGAGAGCTGAATTTATCAACCAATGAACTCTGAAATAAAATGTTGCAATAAAGAGCACTATTTCCAAAATCTTAACACTTTTTTAATTCAGAGAAAAGTCTGATATGCTTACTGGGACCAATATTACCAATTGTATTTGATATTGCAATATATGCAGCCATAATAATTTTTATTAATCATTTATTAATTTATTAACTTGTTAATAGAAAGGGCATAATTTGGATCTATTTAGATAGCACAGTGGTTAGAATTTAGTATTGCAGTTAACTCTGCCTACTGTCAGGAGCTTGATTCTCAACACCTCAAGGTTGACTCAGCCTTCCGTCCTATTGAGGACAGTAAAGTAAGAACCCAGATAGTTGGGGGCAATATGCTGACTCGATAAACCTGTTAGAGAGGGCTGTAAACTATGAAGTGGTGCTATTGTGCTATTACTATAAAAGGTATGAGTAGATTAAGGCATTTAAGACATTATAATTTACCTTAAGTAGTCTAATAATTATGTAGAGTTTTTTCTTCAGTTGTAGACTGCACTATGTGATATATCACCTTGAAAAACACATTGATGCATTTGGACAACTAAAGGAATTTAAAAAAACCTTGCTTATACAGCAGCTTTGCAATGCTTCTTGTAAATTTCTAGATAGCCCTTACAAAAATGTTAGCATTACTCTTCACATGCTTAATTTTTACAAGCAGATGATGTATGCCACCCAAAACAGCATGTGATTTTATATCACAGATTACATTTGAATAAAAGTCATATTTTTCACTCTAAAAAATTTTATTGGAAAACAAATTTACTTTATTGTAACCAAATAAAGCCAATTGTTTTAGTTTTAAAAAATTTAAGATCATTTGGACTACAATACTAAGAACCATCAGGTTTTGAAAAATAATAGCATTCCCTGCTATTGAAGAGATTAATATACAGCTTTTGATGATATAGAAATATAATCCAGGGTATTGCTTTTAAATTCACCATCTGGAAGCAAGATCCATTAAACGTAGTAAGGACTATTTTGTGAATATATATATGATTCTATTTCAAACTAATTTATCCCAAACAATGAATATGTATACTTCAACACGTCTTACATAGGCAAAATAATTTGACTTTCCAATTAACCAAAATCTCCTTTTCTTCTTAGAAAAGCAAAAAAGTATTATGGGGAAAAGCAAATATGAACTGAAGCTAATATTAATCTGCTACTTTAGGATACAGATGTTACACAAACTTTTGTGACTTCCATCTGTTGTTTTAGCATTTAGCACCCAAAAAGGTCAGGTATGATTCCTGTATAAATGTTACAATTAGCGTGGCTTAAATAGATATGTAAAGACTTAAGAGTGGAAAACCCGACTTCTCTGAAGGCATTACACCGCGTGCCAAGGCATACTTGATATGAATATTTATTAAAAGCAGGCAGATTTGGAGAACCACATTCCCTCGCCCTCTTATTTCATGAGATGCCCCTTGCCTTACGGTGATCCAATTCTCGCCCAGGCGGATATCTACATATTGAAGAGCTAGCTAATAAGTTTGGCTACGGGACAGGAACCCCAACTTTTGCGAAGCGACAAGGAAAAGGGTTAACAACTGCAACATGTTTGTCCTCCTGGAGGGCCGAGCACCTTTTGGATTCTCCTACAAGACGCCACGAGCCAATTTACGCCTTCTCGTCCGGCGGCGCGAGCTCAAATTGCCTTACCCCGAGCGAGCCAGTCTGCACAGACTTTCCCATGCCTGTGCAGCAAGCTAACGGAGGCTCGGAGCATTAACGCTGCTGCCATGCTGCTTGCCCGCCTCCGTTCCGCGACCTCTACTAAGACGCCACCACCTTCTTCGCTCCCTTAGCTTGGCTCTACTGGCTGTGGCGAAGCACGGAAGAAGGCAGAGAAAAAGAGTGACAGCCAAAGCCACCAATCACCATTTCGATTGGCAGCAAATCCCCCAATCAAACCAAACGTTCTCCAGTCGGTGACCTGCCGCAGCTCCTCCCTATCCCATGATAGGCGTTGTTTTCTCCAGAAATATAAAACTAGTTTGTGGTGCTGCGTTTCTTCTTGGTTAACTAAAATCTTTGCTCCGAAATTGGTGTCGGTGGAATGCAAACCTGCCGCCGCAAGCAGGATTGTATTACAATTCCTATCAATCCCAGCCCTGGGAATTATGGCAGTAGTAGTTTATTGCAACTATTCGTGGACAGCTGTATAATTAAGTGGCAAGAAAACAGAGAAAGTGATTTTAAAAAATGGTTTAACTGTTCTCTGCTATCTCAATATGTGTACATTTTTAAAAAACCCTTTCATCTCCTGCAGCTGAGGCACTGCAAGGGGAAAAAGTAAACCGCCACTTTTACATGCAATTATAAAATATTACATTGTTACATTATATTACATAAAAACTACAAAAATGTAACTCTGAAAATGACAGGTAGAGAATTTTTCATCCATATATTCATTGTAAAAAAGCAATCCCTAAAGCACAGAACAATACAAATCAATGCAGGTGTGAACATAATATTTCAGAAGGAAAAAAAATAGAAGGTGCCGCAGCAATGATTTACTCAAAATTCCAGATGTCTTAAGCAAGTTCCAAGCTCCCAAGGATAACACCAACCATAACTGAATAGGGAAGGTATTCCATTCTAATAGCTGCAATCCATTCTTAAGATTGCCAGTAAAAAAAAATTACTAAAAAAAAAATTGCCAGGTTAATGCTATCCAGAATAAGAGAAAAAAACACTCCTTGCATTTTACTGCCATTGAAAGATAATATTTTACTTCCATTGAAAGTTAAAACTTCTTAGGAACACTTGTACTTACTGTGCATGCTAACCCTAGCCTTTTCAAAGCAGGGCATCTGCTTAATTCACATAGGAATTACATATTCATCATGCCTCCATTTTGTTGAGATTTAGCCTCGGTTCATTGATTCTCATCAAGCTTGCACTTAAGCAAATAGAAATGATGTGATTTGATATCCGAAAACACCCAACTATACTCTATAGTATTTTATTTCTTACAAAATGGCTTTTTGCTGATATTATTGAGAGCTCATTTGCAAATTTGAATACCAGACAACACCCAATATTTTTGAAGATATGTCCATGTTTGGAAGTTTAGGCATGTGGGGGGGGGGGGACAGGAGAAAAATAAGCCCATATTTTGCTACTATGACATATGGTATCATTGTCCAATTGACATGAAGCATGTGATATCATTTTACTTTCTCCACTGAAACTAAATGATTGGGACTTCCCTTTCCAAACCGAATCTGAGTTAAAAACAAAAAATCCTGGATATATATCTCTTGTTCCTAGGAAATAAAAACATAACTGTTATAAGTTGAAAACATAACTTATAAGTTATAAATAACAATTCATTTTCATATTGGCTGCCTTGTTTTGTTTTCCTTGAGTCACTAGCCAACCTAGTGACTCAGAAATGAAGCTTACAGCATAAACTCTCAAAATTTATCATTTTTTTTACTTTTTAAGTTTCAATTTTATTCTCAGTGAGACTTATAAAGTTGGTCCTTGGAACTTGAGTTTCCTAACTTGAAAATTATAGTTCTGATCGTTATTTCCAGATTACTGATTTTATTTGATTTCATATTTCTTTTGTGACAGTTTTGGCCTCCACATATAAGATACTGTATGTGAGAAATTGGGTCAAATTATCCTGACTTTTTCATTCATGGATGTTTTCCTGGCCTTTTGCTGTTGTTTTAAGAAAACCATATCTCATGAAAGCTGTGTGTTAAACTGACATTACAAACATTAAAAAAATACACAAAAAGGGTCAAGATAATTTTTGTACTGTATTGGTAAGGTTGCACTGGTAATAAAAATTCCCTAACAAAGTCGTTCATTTCTTTTCCCAGAAATTGTAGGATATTAAAATTAGAACAAAAGAATTAACTATTAATTGCACATCTTTTTCCACATTGTAACATTTCTGTGTCCCATATATTAAATACTAGCCGGATACCTGTACTTCGCAATGATACAATGTGATTGGGCTATGCAGGAGAAATCTGCATAGACAATCCATTGGGTCAGTGGTGGTCAGTGATTGAAACACATAGGGAATATGCTCCTTGAGTCCGGAAGCAGTTCCATAGTGCAGTACTGATATTTACAGCTGTGTGAAAAAGTCCTGCACGCTTTACGGTTTCTGGTTTATGACATTTTTTGGAGAAGCCATTGATTTTATGATATTTTATGCTAACTGCTATGCAAATATTATGATATTTAAATAAATACTGATGGTTTTTAAGTGAAAAGCATAAGATTTTTGCAATTTGGTGCTATTTGGATGGTGATTTTGAATTTTCTTGCATGTTTACAATGCATGCTTATGACGACTATGAAAACATTAACTGATGCATACACAGTGGCATACATGTTGCAATTACTAAGGCCGATGCTAGTGTTCTGTTAATATTTTGATTGTTTGTGGCACTGAAAAGGACCATTTAGGTAACCAAACATGGCTACTAATATGAAATTGGCCAGCTCTTATTGCTTATCACCAGGCAGCATTGCTTTGGCATAGACTGTATTAGCCTTGGCACGTGATCTTTGGTGACAATGTGGTGCCAGGCTGCAATAATGGATTCAATCAGCTCCTGCTTGGTCTTCGGATACTTCTTGCTTATTTCGTAACCAATCTTGGTCCACAAGTTCTCAACTGTGTTCAAATCTGAGTTCTGAGCTGGCCAATCCAGGAGTCGAACAACATGCTTCTTCATCCACTGCTGGACAGTTTTGGCTCAATGACAAGAGCGTTGTCATCCTGGAAGTAAAAGTCCTTCCCTACAAGTTGCTGAGCTGAAGGAAGCATGGTCTTTTCCAGGACTTCAACATACTGCTTGGAATTCATGATTCCCTGCATGATTTGTATCTGACCAATACCAGAAGCAGCGATACAGCCCCAGATCATCACAGGCAATGGATGCTTCACAGATAGATTCAGGCAGTACAGCCTAAATTCTTCAGCTGGCAATCTTCTGACATGCTTATTGCACTGATTCCCAGTCAAGTAGAAATTGCTCTTGCCACTGAAGATGACCTTGGCCCACTGTTCGTTGGTCCACTTGGCATACTTCTTTGCCCACGCACGTCGACAAGAGCGGTAAGCATCTGTGAGCAAAGGTTTACTTCGAGCCCTGCAGCCTTTGAGCCCTCTGGCAAGCAGTCTGCAGTGCACTGTGCATGTGTACACTTTTACATCACATGTTTCACCCCAAATTCTTGTAATCTAAGGTGATGTGAGCTTCCTGTCAGCTATCGAAATGCATTGCAGAGCCCAATCTTGCCGTTTTGTCTACTTTCTTGGTCTTCCAGAGCAAAGCCTTTTATCAACTGAACCAGTTATTTGGTATTTTTCAACCACTCTGCTCACTGTGATGAAATGGCATTTCACTTTCTTGGCTATTTTTGTATAGGAGTAACCCTCTTCATGAAGCACAATGATGCAATGCTGCTGCTCAGTACTGGTGAAAACAAAGGCCTCCATTCTTGCCCGCAGCCAGAGCTAAATTAAATTTCTCGATGCTTTCATGCCTATTTATAGTCAGAGAGTTTGACAAAGCTCACTGCTGATTGGCTACTTTCGATCCTAACATTCTCAAAAATGCAAGTTGTGTTTGTTTTAGCACATAAACTCACTCAAAACCTTAAAAAGACTTTGGTTATATTAATAAAAATTATGCATATCAATCCAACTACAGAAATTTTCATCAAAGTACTAATTTTGCATGGTTTCTATGAGTGAAAAGTTGATTAAACATGTAAATACAGCTTAAAACTGAAAGCGTGCAGGACTTTTTCACGCAGCTGTAGTACTGTAAGGAGCCCCAGATCGCTCCTGAGCTCTCCAGTACCCTCTGATGTTCTGCCATGGAGAAGATGGCTATTACATCAATATACCTCTGCGACGCAAAGACCAAGGGTCTTCTCAAGAAGACCATGTCTGCTGCTGACTTTTACAGCTACAGGATAATGGAGCATGATGGTGAAGAATGCTACCTACTGCTGTTCCGCAACCTTGTGAGGCAACTGGCAGTTGGAACAGAGTTCTTTTCAGGTGGGGAGGGGGAGTAGAACTCCTTAACATCAGAGCATGTTAATTACTGTATTAAGAAATAGTAATAATCTGATTGTCATTTCGCAAAATCCTTTCTTAGTGAGCATCTAGAAGCCAAGAGAAATATATGCGCCAAATTTCAAGTTTGTACGCTTTATGGTTCTGGAGATTCATGATGAGTGAATGGTACTTGGCATACATACATACATACATGTTTTCGTAGATTTTCACGGGGACAGGTATGTAGGTCTAGGTATGTTTGGGTCTCTTCCCGTGTAAGATTAAGAGTATCTTGGCGACATTTCGGCAAGGTCCCACTCGCCATCCTCAGGCTGGTGCTTTCGGCTTCATGCCAGTGCAAGCAGTGTGTGATTGGAACTGCCATCTCTCTATAAATATTGGTGGTGGGGGCTGATGTGCTGGGCTGGTTGGCTGCGCTGCTGCCTCTTGATTGGTTGATGGAGTTGATGTTGGTATAATGGGCTGTGTGATGGCCTTGTGAATTTTGTTGTGGAGATATCCTGGATCTTGTGCTGTAATCTCCTGGGTCATTTGTTTTGTAGTGATCTTTCTTCCATTAGCCTCTCGTGTTTTAACAGCTTGGGTAATGGGTTGTGTGATGGGCTTGCGAGTTCTTTTGTTGTGGTATCCTGGGTCCTGTGTTGTAATCTCCTGGGTCGTTTGTGTTTTGATCTCTTTTCCATTAGCCTCCTGTGTAGTAACGGCTTGGGTAATGGGTTGTGTGATGACCTTGTGAGACTTATTGCTGTGGTACCTTTGGTCT